TTGGGGGAAAAATAAATAAATAAAATTAAAAAAAAAAAAAAAAGTAAAAAAAAAAAAAGCAAAGAAAAGGGATGATAAATAGAAAACAAGAAGTAGAAATAGTTTCAAATATATGAGTAGAGCACAAATGGATTGATCTTCTTTATTAAAAGACACAGAGGGGCCGGGCTGGTAGCATAGCAGTTGGGTTCACGTGTTCCAATTTGGCGGCCTGGGGTTCGCTGGGTTCAGATTCTGGGCACGAACCTACTCACCACTCATCAAGCCATGCTGAGGTGGCGTCCCACATAGAAGAACTAGAAGGATATACAACTATATACTGGGGCTTTGGGGAGAAAAAAGAAAAAAAAAAGGAAGATTGGCAACAGATGTTAGCTCAGGGCCAATCTTCCTCAAAAAAAAAGACACAGATACAGCAATTTGAACAAAAAACAAAATCATCTATATATTCTTTATAGAGATACCAAAAATAAAACCACCCAGAATGGGAAAAGAAAGCTGATATAGATTATCATTATTGGACAGATGGCAGACCAAAGGCTTTAAAGGATAAAGTGCAACAGTACATATTAATAAAAGGAAAAATCCACCAAGAAGATATAATAATCATGAACTTCTATGCAACTTGAAATATACAAAGCAAAAACAGAACGATAAGAAATTACAAGTCTAAAGTCATAGTAAGAGATTTTAATATAGTTCCATCCAAAACTAGTAAATCAAGCAGATAAAAATTAGGCTATAGAAGATTTTAAAATATCCTGAACAACTTTTCTACTGAAAACAGAAATGCTGGATAAAATTTTAAATATATATTTTTTAATGCATAGTTGAGCTAATAAGAAAGAAAGGAATCCTAGGGCCAAAAATGAAGTGGAAGCAGGAATGCAAAGAAGTAAACAGGTATTCAGCTGGCTTTTACCCTGGAGGCATCTGCCAAATGCTGGTGACCTTAAGCTTTGACAGGTATGAGGAGTACAGAGGACAGGAGAGTTCATTCTCAGGCCTGTTCGAGGTGAAGAGGCTAGTAGGAAACTCTGCATAAGGCTGGGACTTCAAAGGCTACACTTTCAGCACAAAGGTGATCTAGAAATAAACCACCTTGTTCATCTAGCCTGTGGCACTGGGTAGAGGGGTGTCAGAAAATCGCCTCCGTGAATTTCTAACCACTAGCCACCTTCATGCATGTGTGGGGTCCAAATTCACACTACCATATGGTCCAAAACCCTCCAGCCAGCAATTTTAAATTGGATCCAGATTGGTAGCGCTGCCAGGTGCCTGCAAAAACAAATGCAATTCTTCTCTGGGGGAGAA